CCCCCCCCCCCCCAGCTCTGTATCACACATTCAATTAAACTGACCAAAAGCAACAAAGACCTCTGAATTAATATTTCTGTCTTCTTTAACCTCGTTTATTGTCTATTCAGAGGATGATGACAATAAATGATGACAGTCAGGAAAGCAGGAAAAACTTACATGCAATATCTAGGACTGCATGCAGAGTGGACTCATCGCTAATCGTGTTAGCAATCTCGCACATCGTTTGTAATCTGGGGAGAAAAACATGATGTTAATATAACGCCTCCCTGGTAACCATATCAGTAAAAAACAAACATGAAAAGTTTTGATTTGTGGTAAAAATAGTAACGTAGACATGAGGTCTCAGGTTCACAGTGAAATACTTGTTAAACCGTGTTCTGCTGTGGCATCTATAGTAAAGTATACTTAACTTACTGGTAAAAGATAAAAAGCCAATTATATGTATGTATGTCTGTGTATATATATACATACATATATAAAAAGAAATAGACCTAAGAGAAGGTTCTGAGCGCTGCTGCCACATGATAACTCCTGAAACACAAACAGAGTCCCGTTTTCTGACCCTGACATCTGTAATATCTGCGTGACATGAACTGCGTCCCACAATCCTCTGGGCCAACCCAGCATCCTGTGTGTGATCCATTGGCCAGCATTGTCTCACTATTGTCAGGCTTTAAATAAACTTCCTTAACCTCGGGACAGTCCTGATTATGTGATGTAGTTTGATGCCTGTTTGACTCGGTCACATGTGTGAAAGGCATCAGGAAGAGGAGGAGCTTCTCGCTCTAATTTATTGTGTGACAAACGCACACCATTACTGTCTGCACTCACTGATGATGTCTGTGGACGGCTTCCTCATAATTCCCATATCATTAATATCCCAGAAGGAAGACCGGGATTTTCATAATACATCACCAAATTGTCTTAACAACAGAATCAAATAATAAAACATCGTGTTTGAGCTTTCAAATCCCTGCGGCGCGTTAGCTCTGTGTACTTTTACTAGAAACCCTCGGCGTTATCGTGTACAGCTCAAGTGTCAAACTCGTTTTATTTCAATGCTGCGTGTGCGCAGGTTTGATCTCAGAAGTAAGAACGATTGCATAAGAACTTAAAAACACACTCACAGTTTTTTTACATAACGTGAACGATTCATTTCCAGTGTAGCTGCGATTTCTGCAGTCAGTCTTGTAAATCACACAGTTTAGTGTGGTACTGCAGGCCGTGGGTCACATCGCTGTCACAGAGAAGGCTGACAGTGATTCAGACTTCTGTTTGGACAGCCGCTCTGATATGATCCCCTATTCATTAGGGGTGGGGAAAAATCGATACTGTGTAGCATCGTATATTTTGTTTGCTAATAATGTATCGATGCAGCGACAGCAGAAATCGATATTTTGTTACAGAAAAAGTTTGTGCTCTGACTTCAGAGCATGTTGATCCTTTTTCTGAGCAACAATCCTGACGCTGTCCAAATGTGTTTAACTGTTTTTTGGCAGCAATAAACACGACAGTTTACTTATTTTAATTTAAGACATGTTTTATTTTAATTAAGTTTAAAACTTTTTTATTTAATGTAAAATTATATTTTGTTTTAATTTACTTTCAAATTCTTCAGTTGCTGAAGGGGCTGCATAGTTTTCACATTGCATAGTTCAGAATAGCTGTATTGTACCAGATGGTTTCAGTTCAGTTGGACTAGACTGTAATACAAACCGTTCAGTTTGTCAACAATAAAACTGAGATGAGAGAAAGACTGAGTGTGAGACTTTGTTATTAGATAAAATGAATATTGATAAAGTTTACCTTTATGGACAGAATCTGAATATCGCAAAATATTTTAAAAAATTGCAATAATATCGTATCGTGCGTTAAGTATTGTGATAATATCGTATCGTGCGTTAAGTATTGTGATAATATCGTATCGTGGGATGTTTGGTGATTCCCACCTCTACTATCTATGCTTCTGGCATAAATACAGATACGATATCCCTCAATCGCTACAGTTTTTACTCCCTAAATGTTAGCCAGCGGTGGTGTATATCCCCCTCATCCACAAATCAAAATGACTTTATAATTTAAGAACAGTTTAAAGCAATAAAGTTTGTCTTATTAAGCACAGAGTTTAGCACTCATAAACTGAACTCGGATCAGGTTTGACTGGTAGTTGATTTAAATGTCATAGTGTGACAACTCCAACCCAAACAAACTGTTAAGACGTTACAGTAAACCCGTAAAAGCAGGTTTTGAGGAAGCGCAGAGATCATCGAGCACATCAGCAGAAACAGAACAGGAGAAGAAGTCATACATACATGCTGGTGTCGAGCAGTCCCTCGTGTTGTGATAAACTCTATGAAAGTGTGTTTTGCACTCCGATGAGAACTTGACTGGTCCTGCTTAACAGAAAAAGGTCTCATCAGATAAAGCAATCATTTTTGAATCTTATTTGCAGGTGTAATTAAGCTTACAGTTAATGTGAACAGACATGTGCTAACTAAAGCTGGACCTGGCCTTAGTGTGCAGGGGAATCGAGTCTTCAATTAGAAGCACATCTAACATTTAAGCTTCCAGATTTTCACATCACTCATGAACCCTGCACATAGTTCCTGAGACAAATAATCAGCTTAATGTGCCGCTGCCTTCAGCTTAATACTGTCAGCTTCAGACCATGTGCTGTTTCTCAGCACTGCTGCCCTACAAGCAACCCTTTCTTAACTTACTGCAGCCCCCAGTGTTCGTGATGTTTTCTATGACCTGAGCAGACTGCATGCTGGCTTGGAAAGAAAAGGATTTTTTCACAGGGGCAAAAGGAAGAATTTGCACTGGATTAGTGCCATCAATGCTGGGACAGTTAGTTGTCAGAAACAAACGGTCTTGCATTAGAGACAGAGTTTGTGCTCCTAGTGTCGTCTTTGGTTTCTTACCTCCAAAATGCTCAATGATTTTCTCTTTCATGTTTGCATCTCTGGAAAAGATTTCTGGAAAAGAAACTCACTGTTAGCTTCTCACCATCTGAGCAAAGTTATGCATGAACCACAGTGACGGAGGGATCGTCAGTGTTAACAGTCTCCCTCCTGCATCCTGCATTATGTTTCAAGAATCTCAGCAGTGTCGCTGCTTTACGTGACGATGCACAGCTGCTTTGCATTATTAATAACTTTGAAATGTTTTTGGATTTTACTGCACACGTCCCAACTGCAGAATCATAAATGAACATTATTCATTCTCTATTAAGTTCCTCAGATGTGCACCAAATGTAGTTTTTCTCCAACTGATTGACACACTCGTGTTTTTGTACATGGTTTGGACTCTGGGGAAATTTTGTGTATTCATAAAGACACCAAGGACCTCTGTTTGTATTAACTGTCCATCCAGGCAACACAATGGCCATGCTTACAGGCTAAAGAGATTAATGTATGGGAGTTTAATGCCCATCAGAAGAAGTAAGTAGCTACATTAACCCTCCAGCAAGAGATTTGTGCAATGCTCTACGGGGGGATAAATATGGAAGAAAATCACTTAGATGCACTAAGAAAAATCACAGAGAATATTACAAAATTAATTTAGGAAGACGGACAGAAGACAACCCATAAGAGCAACACGGGTCAGGTTTTCAGGGTCTACATATGTGGAGGATTAGTGAATGTGTCGACACTGTTTTTAGCTGCCAGTCCAAAACTGTAACAATGGAACAGATAAAACCAGCTAGAAAATAAGTGCCTGGCTTCATGGCGTGTTTCTTGAAACAACCGTAGCTGTAGAGGAAGAGGTGAGTGTGCCGCACACATCAGTGGATTTATCGATGTTTCTCTTTCCTCCTCGTTGTGTTCAAAACATCCATCCTTGCGTGACCACAAATCTTTGGTAGCGTTGCACGCACCGCTTGCTAATGTGCTGCTTTTTATATCCTCAAAAGATGAATTCCATCCAGTCAGTGGTCTGAAAGGTACTTTTCCAACTGCATGAGCTGGAGCCAAGATTTTAAGCTGTATAACGCCTGCACAACATCTCTACGACAGGATCTAATTGATAGTGCTGTTGGACACAGTCTGATATTGGAAATAAACAGCACATTATGTTAACTTAGCCCTTAATATACTCCCACACATACCAGTGAGGCACAGCCCTCGACTACTCTCTGAGTCTGCGATAAAAACAGTTGCATAAAAGGATTTTCTGGATTCCTTTTCTTTATCACATTCGAGCGCACCTTCTTTGCCAGGTTTTAGATATTTGAAGAGTTGCAGCATTAATGCAGATTTACTGAAATGTCTGAGACGACTCAGTTTTAGTAAAAATCCTGTTAAATGTCGCAAGGGCAACATTCAGTAACATGCTCTGGATAGTCTTCCCAGATAAATAAAGTCCAGTGTTTATAGTCTCCTCATACAGGCTCTTCATTCCATAACGGTCAAAAAAGTATTTTAGTTAGAGTATCACTGATGCAATGCCGTGTACGTGACACAGCACAACCAGTCTGCTTTATCTGCTCTGTCTGCAGACGTGAATGTGACCGGAGATGCTTTCCAGGACACTACAGCGCCTGTGTGCACGTTGGGAGCTCATCACTCACGTTAAAGAGTCCAATCATACTGAATGACTCATTCACAAGTTTAGCATCACCATGCCCCTCCTACCTTAATTAGCCTATTCACATCTCCATCTGTCCAACAGTCAGTTAAACACGTGTTGAAGAAACATGGTCAGAAAACAGGTCTTCAAAATGAAGCACACCTGCATTGTGTTCATGGAAACCACTTTAAATTTAGCTGGACACTTGAGGCCAGACGGATGTGGATGCTGACCTCTCTGAGCACCAGTGACACACAAAATTACAAAATTTAACTCGAACAAACCAGTTTCCATTCAGCTAAAAGAAGCTCTTGAATAAGGCGTGCAGCACTGCCCAGAACACTGACAGCTGTCCCCAACTGTAAAATGGGGATTATGCCTTCATCATCAGAACCTAAAAATAAATCTTATCAGCTTACCTGAGAGTCTACTGTTATCCAGCCTAGGGACATAGAAAGGCTTTTCCCGGGAGGAGAACTTCATGTCTTGAGCTGAAGTGAAGAGTCCACTGCTACAGCGCCTGGAGATGGGTTTCTCCCGTTGCTGGCTGTCTCTGATAACCTGTAAGATTAGATCCAACAGGGTCCTTCGTTCTTTCTGCTTGTCCTCCTTGCTGTCCATACACTGACCCGAAGTGATGAGCAGAAAGAAGATAGTGAGCAGTACGTGCCATTTCCTTTCCACCTGCATGACTTTACTGTCTGAAAGCATGAGCAGACGGGTTTTGTTACACGAAAGTCATTACACGAAAAGAAATGCCTCATTTGTTTGACTGGACTGACCAAAAACACACTTGGACAGTTTGCATTATGATTTACATGAAGGGACGAATCAGCACTGATATTTGAAGTCCTTCACATTTTCATTATTACAGCAAAATTAATAAAATCTGCATGTTGGAGATAAAATAGGTAACTTCTAAAAAATCTCCACTTTCCCCTTGTTTAATACAAGAGTAACGCAAATGCATTTAATTGAACTTCAAACTTACTAGTTTAGGAGTTAAAGATGCTTATGTCCTGGAGGGTGGACACAGTTGTCTTCAGCAAATTCTTCCGATCCGATAGGAGAGAAAGCCAACAGATTGTGCTCACCACCGTCTTTCTTGAAATAATGCGTTCCTATTTATACGAGGAGCCACCTTCTTGAAGGTAATACAATCGATTTTGAGTGGGTGGTAAAGCAATGTTGACATCTTTGGTGTAATTTCTTCCAGTGGCACTCGCTCACTTAGGCATGAGCCACTCCTTTACGCACCAAAAACATCACTAGTTGTAGTTGAACGGGACAGGCTACTTGCAAATAAAAACGACTCTCTTATAGATGCAATAATGGGCGAAGATCTGAAAAAGTCCCCCGTGCACTATAACGTCCATTAAAAAAGAAAGAAAAAAACCCGACAAAGACCGTGGCGCGGAAGCGCACGAGTGTCCACTTTTCCAAAAAGAGCGACTTGTTGGATGTTGGGTGCAGAGAAGTGAAGAATCTGTGGGCATGTGAGCTTCTAGCTGACCTGTCAGCGTGCCGATGTTTTTGCTCACCGATGTCCAAGTCTTGTGACCGCCTAAGCGCCGCAGATATTGCGCTTCCTGGAGCAGCCATCCGGCTTTTTCCCACACATGCTGAACAGAGTCATGTAACAACCGTGTATAACTCTAAAACTTCACCTACAGGTGTGGCAGGGTTACGGAGCGGTGTAATTAGTGGGTCGCTACATTTCAGATGCATCTGATACAGACACACCTGCTGACTCAGCTGCTGGAACTGTGACTCCAATCCAGTTTAAAATACAAAGTTTGTATGAGTGTAACAATGAGGCAAATCTATTAATGCGTGAAGTCTTCAGATTGATTCATTGTTTCATGTGTAATCAGTTATTAACAGGCTTCTATTTGTGCTTACAGAGATCCACGTTTGCACTTTGCATGCATTCACGTCACCTAGTTGCGTAAAGAGCTCATGTGGAAGCTTTAGATGTGCATTTCGTCATTCGATGTTTATTGGTGGTTTAAAAAGCACAGGAGGAGGAAGATGACATTACTGTTTTTATTATTGTTGTTGGTGTAGATGTTTATATGTTTTTATATTAATTGTGGAGAAGAAGCACTGTGCGTCAGGTGTTGGTCCCCATCGCTGAGCTTTACCTGGACATAACCACTGTCTTCTGGGGCGCTCAACTGGAGCCCAAAGGTATCTTGACACCTTTGGAGGGTATGCGGAGCGAAACACGACTTTCAACGCGGACAGACTTCCTGTGTTACTGTTACTATGGAAACAGACCACGCACTGAAGGCTGAGCTAACGTTAGCTGTAGCTAACCTTGGTTTAGTTTCGGCTCCGTGGGACCTTTCTTTGGTTAGAGACACGTTTTCTATCCGCGGAGGCTAAAATATGTCGCAAAGGTAACCTGTTCAAAAGCCACGTGCTTGTTGTTGTGAAGTGTTTAATGTTTGCTTGTTGTGCGTAAAACGTGAAAATATCTGTGCCCAGTAAGTCAAACTAAAGAAAGTATCACAGCTGGGATATTTCAAATTTAGCAGCATATTTGATCACAGAATAAATAAAGGGTCTTATTATTATTGTCAATCCCAATGAGTAATGAGACTCCAGCTGAATAGCAGCGCTGACACGTGTGCTGGTTTCTGCTCTTTAAATATTAGCTTTGTTGTTATTCGCATTTGCAAGTCATGATCGTTTATTCTTGTTATTCTTTGAACAATCACTAACCTGCATCATGTACCTTTCAGGATTCTCACTCACAGACTGTTCGTTCTGGCACAAACTCATCAGATTGCTTCCACTTTTTCAGGACATACAACCAGCTGTGGGCAGATGCCCAGTTAGAGCTGAGCTGTCTGCTAGAAGAAGAACTACCAGCTGAGCCCCCGCGCCCTGAAAAAGACAGAGTCGTTTTCTTCCAGCGTCTGGCCGTGCTTTTTGTGCGCTACACCCAAATCTTCAGACAGCTGGAGAAAGCCTATGACCTGGTGGTCCACCCTCAGAAGAGGAGATTTATTCATTCAGCTCTTGAAAGTGTGATGGGAAGAGTGTTAGAGCTGAAAAATGAAATGGTGGAGAAAGAGTTTTCAGAGTACCACTACATGGATGATGTGCTTCATGATTTGAAGCTCATACCTGTACGTCTGATTTCTGAGTTCAAGATAAAACCAAAATAAGCTTCTGCACACCGGCGCCCAGGGCCAACATAGTAACCACTGTTTACTCTGATGTCCTGTTAGGCCGACCTCGAGATCCCCATCCCTCGCTACTTTCACAGTGAACGCAGCAAAGAGGTGCAGCAAAGAAAGGCCATGCTGACTGACATCCTGAAAATGGCGGAGGTCACTGAAACTCCTGAGGTGAGTGGAAAAGCAGCCAAATCTTTTAAAGCCCTGAAACTTTCTCGCTTAATTTGTTCCTGTCATTTTGTTACACGCTTATGCAACAACTGTTACGGCGTCATGCAGAAGGTGTTCCCGTACTTTTGTCTGTTCTATTTTTGTCCCCACAGCCTGTAATGGCCAAGAAGATGAGTCAAGAGGAGGCAGTGAAGATTATTCAAGTGGCAGAGCGGGCACGACAAGGACGTGAAAGGGCAAAGTTCAACATGAAAAACTTAAATATGAACACCATGTACAGGATCAAGGAACCTGGAGCAGAAAGTGCTGAATCCGCTGCAGTCTGCATCCAAAAGGTCCATCGTTACTCACACACCACGTGTCACGTGCCATCTTCTTTTTCTGTGCAAGCACTCGTTCATGCTCACAGGTACAATTGAATGTAACTGCAGGTGTGGAAGAGCTACGTGCAGAGGAAGAGGACAAAAACTGCCAGAGAGGAGGAGATGATTCTTCTGGGAATGGTGGGTAAAATGCGGCTTCATCAAGATACTTTTTAATGTTTATAAGGAAACACTAGAGTGCTGAATTTTTGTTCTAGAATATGGATCCAAAGTATGAGGAGCCACGCCCTGTGGAAATGACGGCCCAGGCCATCGCGGCTTCCACACGAGTAAAACAGATGGAGCACGAGGAGGCTTACCAAAAGGCCACAGTGGATGTCATGAACCAACTACGGGATGTGGAAGGGGACGACATGAGCAAAAGCATGAAGGTGCAAATTCAGCAGTGGTTCACTGAGTGCCGGTAAGCTGGCAGAGAGTTTGTTGCCATGATTTTTCCCTCTGGTCACGGAGCTTTTTCACACTCGGTGGGTTTAGTTTCACGTTTGAATCTTCGATGTTTTAGCAATGCTACCGGAACATTTCCAGACTACCCAGATGAAGAAGATGGAGGTTCTGCCCTCATTTTTGCTGAAAAGACCCCTCAGCAGGTAGAATCCAGTGTGATTTAAAGGCTTTATTCGTGCTTTAATATTGTTCGTAAACAGTGGCGTTGGTGGGTTTTTTAGTTGTTGGAAGAATTTGCTGCAAAAGAAGAAGAAGAGGCCAACGCCAAAGCTAAAGGAAAAGAAGAAAAGAAGGAAAAGGGGAAAAGTGACAAGAGGAAGGAAGACGAGGAGGTGGGGAGACACCGCTGTTTTTAATTTAGTAGAACAATCTGTAAAATGATTAATACTGTATCTTAGATAAGAATATAGCAAAATATTGAGCTCAATCAAAGCAAAACCAAACGCTTCACTTTGTGTTCATCGCTGTAACTGCATCACGATCAGGTGGAGGAGGCAGGGCTGAAGATGCTGCCCTCTGCATTTCTGCTGGACCTCGAAGTTGAAAGTAAAATCTACGCAGGTACGGTCCGGCGCCAAACAGTTTGTTTAAATGTTAAAAACCTTTAACACTAAAACTCGTGATTCACATCCAGTTTGCAGCAAAGCGTAAAGGTTTTTGTTTGTTTTGGCCAATCATGAGTCTTTGTGAGTATCACAGTTTATCCTGATGCATGCTGAGTCATGCAGGTAAGTAACTCTGTAAGTTCTGTTCATCTGGACGTTTTCAGTTTCGTCGCTCATCCAGGTGACTTCTTCAGCCTCCAAGTGACGAGCCGCTTCCCCCACGCTGCGTCCTGATGAGCAGCGCCAACCTTTCACGCGCATACTTAGAGTCTGCATCTTTGTCATCCTCAGACTTTTGGCACAATCGCAGCGAGTACGGAAACTTTAACCAAATGCACGACCCGGAGCTGATCAAGGAAGAAAAGAGGAAAGTCATTGAGGCGGAAATTCGAGTGAAGGTACGGCGAAGGCTCCAGCACACGAGCCACCATTGTAAAAGCAATTCTTGGCTCATTTCACAGCAAAACACCCGTTTGCTTCTGCTTAGCCGTAAATTAACATTTCGTTTGGTCTTAACAGAGAGTTCGATGCAATGCTTGGGTTTGCCTCACTCACTGGTGATGTTTTGCTCGCACCAGGTCGATGAGCAGATGAGACACGAACTGGCTGAGTGGAAGCTGTCTGTGGATAAAGACAAGGGCGGTAAAACGAAAGCAAACGCCAAGGTACCTGACTGAGAGACGGCGGCCGCAGTTTACGCTGATTCCTTGAAGCGTGTTGCTGATTGTGTTTGTTTCTGCAGAAGAAGAAAGGCTCTAAGAGTGGAAAGAAGAAGAAAAAGGAAAAAGACCTGACGGCTGATCGGTGAGGTCACGCGCAGCCTGATTGGATGTTCAGCACAATGCAGAAGAGATTTCATCTTTTATTCACATCTGTAGGACTCTGCAGTCTCTGTGTCGGGAGCTGGTGGAGCAGGGCTTACTGAAGCAGACACGTAATGTTCAGCTGCAGGATTTCTTGGGTAAGACACGACACACTGTGACAGAAATGCTTTTGTCTAATTGTAACTTGTTTTTGTGTGCTTGTGCATGATGTGCTGGTACTCCACAGGAAGTTCACCACTGAGCTGTGTTAAGTAGAAACTATGGCGCGTGGATGTGCTGCCCTCTTCTGGCTCGCGTTGCTAAAACTAATCTCACGCAGTCGTTCGATGTAATGTTGATGATTTTGCACCGACTGTCTATATTCATACGTCACAGTTCAGTTAAGTACAGATTAAATAAAATGCTGTAACTTATTACATCATTTTATATCCCAGCCTTTGTTAAGGTGAGATTTATTCACTGATTATGGTTTTGCAGAACATTTGTATTGTGTCGATGTGAAACTAACAAACAGGTGACTTGCTGCATACTCCCTAGGCGACTATAGCTACCTGGGGACCACGCTGAGGCAACACGACATTGAGCCCATGCCGTCATTGTCAGATGTGCGACAAGTCATATCTCTGTACGCAGTTCTGCCGTTAGGTATTAAAGCCAGCACCGATCTTTCACATCAACGGGACAGAAAACATCTGTAGTTTGAAATAACATGCGCGTCACTTTCAGGCTCTCAGGTGGTACACGAGAAGGCTCCTCTGATAAAGTCGGTCCTGCTGGTCGGACCCACAGGTGTGGGTAAAAAGATGCTGGTCCATGCGGTTTGCCACGAGACGGGCGCCTGCCTGTTTGATCTGTCTCCCCTGAACACAGCCGGAAAGTACCCAGGCAAGAGCGGGCTCGCCATGATGCTTCACATGGTGTTTAAGGTGAAACGGCCAACCGCAATCAATGCTTTTAATCTCGCGTGTGCAGCACAAATGAGAAGAATGTGGTGATTTAAAGACTTTAAAAAAGGTAAAATCAGACTGCATTCAGATTTTTCTGTCATTATCTTAAAGACTCAAAGTTATGAAGGCAGAACCTTAATGAACTTACATAAGATAAGACAGAACTTTAATAATCCCTCGGGTGGGATCCTCTGGGAAATTCGACTTCCAAAAAAAAAAGCACAGCAACGACCGAAGTTACAGTTACAGAATTGTTATATATATATATATATACACACACACACACACACACACA